ATCTCGATATAAGTCCAGTCGAAGCCCTTCAAGAAACCGTTCCACCTTATGCTAATTAGTGCTGACTATATGAGAAGTAACGCGAGAAAGTTCTACAAATTTTCTAATATACTCTCCAACCGACATAGTCCCTTGTCGCAGCTGAATAAACTCATTTAAATTTTGTTGTCTAGTAGCTATGGTAAAATATTTATTTAGAAAAAGTTCATTAAATCTAGTCCATGTCATAGAGTCTAAAAAACTCAATGCTTTGCATCGTATCCCACCAGAATCCAGCACTGCCTCGTAGCATAAAAGCATCACAATTTACATTCTCGGTATCTGGAACTCTACTATATTTAAACACATTCTCCGTCGTACGTACCCACTCTTCTGCTTTCATTGGTTCAATAGTCCCATCAAAAATGGGAGGGTTTAGTTTCCTAAATCTCTCTCCAACATTCTCATAGATTCTTGGAGCCAGTGTAACTTGCATATATTGATTAAGCTGTTGTGATTGGATCTCTACTAACGCTGTCAATCGTTCTATTACTACATCTCGATTATTTCCGTTGGTCGTAGATCCACTTGCCTCAGCCATCTAATAGAAAGTAGGCTTTTAAGCCTGTGACTAATATACGTACCTTTAAATATTGGTGGAACAAAAGTCTGAACTTGCTTATGAAAATTTTTCATTTTCATAAATCTTAAAACAAACCACATATTTCCTAACTTATATAAGATGATTCCCTTAATATAGTCACACTTATAATTAAGGAAAAATTGCAGCCGAGGTACCAAACCTTTTAGTTAGTTGCGGACTTTGCCCAAACATTTCATTTGTACCACCCATGGTGCCAAACTTTTAAAAAAATCACAGCCCAAGTCCAAAATAATGGTTTCTGTTAGTTTGACCCCAAAATCATCAGTTGACCTAGAAATTAAAAATATAATAATTTTCTCCAAACAAGGTAAGGGTATTTTTGACATAATACATTTCATTTATTAAATCAAAAATTAAAAAAACAAAAAACAAAACTACAACCCCCTATCCCACCCTACCCTACCCCCATCTCCTTCTTCCCCAACCCCCTCAACCCACAACCTCCACTTCATTCCGACACACTCTGCCGCCACCACCAGAATGACCAACCAATGTGCCACCTTAGCTATCGCCTCCCCGTAGGCTTGACTTCCCCATCGGATGATCCACCAAATTTTACGGTTTCTTCTGGCTATCTCTTAAATATTTTTGTCTATTTCTAATTGATTTTCTAACTTATTTCAACGAGAATTTCAAGCTGAAAATGGATGAATTTGATGGGTTCAAAATTGAAGTAAATTAATGCAAGAGTGAAAACGGAATTGGAATCTGTCTACTTCCCGGTAACGGCTTTGGTTGGAATTTTAATCTCGATTTGCTGTCACATTCACGGAGGAACTCTGTGGTTAAAATTCGAGACTCATAGGGTAGCGGAAAGGAGAAGATGAATGTTGTTTCCATTTTATGTACCACGCCATCACCTGATTTCATTTCACGTCTGATTGGAATCTACTTTGAAAAAAGCGGTTGTGGAGGTGAAGGACGATGGGGCATGTGGGGTAAGATACGGTAAATGGTGGGGTGGAAACCTCTGCAACTGTTTAGATCCAGCTGGAAAGCAACTAGAGATTGCCCTGCGTCTGTACTTGAGGTGATATTATTGTAGTAAGTGTAGGAGGTGGAGGAATGTGGGGCAGAGAGGAGGAGGGGGTGGGAGGACCAATCATATGGGGTGGCGCGAGAGCGATTGCTGAGAGCTTTGCCTGGGAAAGAGACATCGGAGGGAAAAATAGGCGGTGATGGTGAATGGTTGACTGGAGAGACTGAAATTGTGGTGGTGGTAGGCTCGGCGGTGGTGGCGTGTGTTGGAATGAAGTGGACGTTGAAGGTTGAGGGGGTTGGGGAAGAAGGAGATGGGGGGTTGCGGGTTGTAGTTTTGTGTTTTGTTTTTTTTAAAAAATTTTTTTGATTTAATAGAGGAAATGTATTATGTTAAAAATGCGCTTATTTCATTTGGAGAAAATTATTAGATTTTTAATTTCTGAGTCAACTGACGGTTTTTGGAGTCAAACTAACAGAAACTGTTATTTTGGACTTGGGATGCGATTTTTTTAAAGGTTTGGTACCGTGGGTGGTATAAATGAAAGATTTGGACAAAGTCTGCAACTAACTGAAAGGTTCGGTACCTCGGCTGCAATTTTCCCTATAATTAATCATTCTCACTACCAATTCAAAACATAATTTTATTGAATAAATCTAGTAAGTGTAATTTCAAAAACATACAATATACGTACCAGTATTCTGTCATTTACTCAGTCCCCAGCTATACATGTTATGTCTTCAGGATGTTATCAAAACTTGGGCTCTGATACCACTCATT